ATATTTTTGGCATTGTTTCGGGATAATACTGGCCGGTATATTGCAGACAACTCAGTAAATCAATGTACTTTGTGGCCGATAAATTCTCCTGGGAATAAAGGCCTCCTTAAACGTAGACCCAAACTCCAAGATGTCTCTGCGACTTACTGAAGAAGTCGACAAGCATAGCTCTTTCATTCGGATAAGGAATGGAACGCATACTCAAATAAGTTTCGTTTCATTTATTAACAGACATAAAAACACTCTTTAAAAGTACAGACTCAAATTGTCAATTGCATCACTTTTAAATATAATAACTCATTGACGTATTTTCAGATTGGTGGTGTACATTTCGAAATATAACCTTATACATTTAAATAACTTTACTATGATAGAATTTGAATGGATTTTTTTTTTTAAAACAGACATCCCGCCGTGCTTTACGCTCGAGTTGACCTGTAGCTGCATGTACACCCAAATGCACACAATCGAAAAAAATCATGAAGAATTTTCTTGATGCTAAGAAGCAAGTTGTAAATACACAATTTCAATAATAAACTGCATTGCTCATCATTGAAGTCCCGAACCTGAGTGGAACGTGTCAAACTGCTGATGAGTTATATTTTAAACATCTTGTTCTGTCAGTCAGTTCGTATCATTATGTTTCAAGGTGTTTTGAGCATCTTGAACCTTATCTAGAGTAAGTTCAGTTTTCTTCCAAGTTAATAAAATGTGCCCGAAAATGGAATTTGGACGATACAAATTCTAATGCAACTATAAACAGTGATTTTCAAAGCAAATTGGTTTGAACACGTTGATTATCTGGGGGTTGCTAAAGGTCGTGCAGGATTTTGATTTGAAGATTTTTACAAAACAATATCCTTTGAACCAGAGTTTGCTGTTTAATTTTTAAAATGAATCATTTTGTAGTTTAAGTGCTTGTATTACCAATAAAATTGCTTTTGGACAACCCATTTAATCTTTGAAGTTTACAAGGATGTTAGGCACTGGCGAAAAGAAAAGAGACAACACCTAGAAAACTATAGCAACTGAGTTCTCGGAACTTAATAAGAAATAAGAACAAGTTAGAATGTGAAGCATTGTAGTACACTGGCAATGTGTACCAACCCAGTAAGTTAGCTGCATAATTTAAAACAGCGTAAAGTAAAATCCCAAGTAAATCTTGGGATAAAGAAAGGTTCAACGGTGTTGGTACACAACGTCTGACATTCATGGAATCATGGGCGACTTGTAAATGACTTTGGAATACATTATATTTGACCCTGAATCTAAGGCCTGCAGAAATGGTAAAAGTTCTCACTTCCGCTCGTCGTATGGGATACTTGATAGTGTTGAGTCTGGTGACACTGACTTGTACACTTTGAGCGTATAATCTTGCTGTTTCAACGGTTGATCTCAAATCATTTGCATTGGCTATCAAATAGAAGATAGCGCAACAATGAATTAGTCTGCTGAACGCTTGTCTTGGAACGCATGTCTAAGTACAAACGATCTATAATTCCCAAACTCAGCCAGTTTAATTTTTTTCGGTCGTTAAAGCCCAGATTGTGGTCTGTGCCAGTATCAGCAATCAACTTGGATAGTTGATAACCATACTTGCTGTGTCTAGTTTCCAAACCACATCATCATCTAAGTGGAATCAGTACACAATTAATAAAATCCGGTTCAGTACCCACGAATGTAGTCCCAGTCTATTTTTAGATCACTTTTTCCGGTCTAAATTTGGTGGTGATACTAGAGTTAGATTTTGGCATTCTTGGTAAGGATTTAAAGGCAATCGTTTATTCTTTAAAATGTGAGCTTATGGTGTGGTTGTCTGTGTGTATTTCGGCGACAGTCCACATTGAGTAATAAGGTCATGGTGATGATCCGGAAGTGAAATCTGTGTTCCGTTGCCTGGTGTTTTGTTTACAATTCAGCCTCTCAAAAAAATGCAGGTCAACCCTTGACAAGAACTAAACCGTAAAGTCATCTTTGAAAGTATTTTAGATTAACATATGATTTGTTTTGATTGTCACACAGTGGAAGTTCAGTACTGAGAAACAAATGTAGAGACGATATAGTGAAATTAATTGTGTACTATGGCCAAGTGTGTGTTCTTGGCTTCTTTTCCGTAAGAGGTCTTCCATATATTTCTAGCAAGCTAATGTCACGTGACAAGTGTACACTACCTCCAAGGACCCTGTCTCCAGACAACCTTGTAGATTATGACAGGGAACATCACCAGCAACAAAAAAAAAAAAAAAAAAAAAAAAAAAAAAACGCCCTCCAAACAAAACCGCCAACCAAATAAACAAACCCATAGAGGTTTATGTCGACAAGGTGCAGCGAATCTATTCTTTATAACGGAAGTGGATTTGTATTCATCTCCGGTTTCATTACTTGAGCAAACTAATTATTGCGTAAAAAGACAATATTTTGGTTGTTTGCTTTTTGGTCAAGTATCATTATGTAATGACAAAGGGAGTCTTAAGACATTTTCTGCACGGAAAGAGTAAAGATATTGACAGGACGTAGACCATCTTACATGTTTTTCGTAGGCAGAACCTTTATGCTACAATTCGTAGAGTTTTACGTCACAATAACTTTTTTATTTTATACTTTTCCTTCTAATATTTTACACCGAATATTCGGTGGTAGCTCAGACTTTTTAAATCGGTCCTTGAAACATATCTCGTACATTTCCCTGTACGGGTGTTCAATCGGCTGTCATATCACAGTATCAACGTAGTCACCGGAAACGCACATTCTGCTCTTGTCCGTGAGTCTACGTATCAGTTTAAGGTCGTTACCTTATTGTGTGTGTGTGTGTGTGTGATTGGCTGTCTAACAGTTATTTTAGATTTATAAATACTCTTAGTTTTTCTTTCAAATATTTTATATAGTAAATTATTTGGGTTTGTTTTAGCATTCGATTTATTTCCAAATTTCAATATGACAAGAGTCAAAGGAGGCTCAAACTCTTTGTGTCCATTCTCACACTATCAGGGAGCCTAATGAGATCCAACTTGGCACGGTGACAGCATTACTTTGTATGGTAATTCATCGATTGTGTCGCAAGGCACATAATCACATTTGTCATTTTTCTGTATAGCATTTATAGCAATGAATTTTCCCCTGATTTTATTTGTGTTGAGGTTTCTGCTTTATACCTTCCACTCGACGTTTTTATACTCAATATGGAAGTCGCACCTATTGTAGACAACTGTCTGTGTGACAAGAATTACGAAAACTATCTGTCAATCATAGTTTTTTGGTTGCCCCGAGTAAACTAGGGGTCTAAAGCGTTACGGATCACTGCCATATCACCACTGTCTATGTGAGTTCGAATCTAGGATTTGGCGAATGTGGATAGGTGAGAAAGCTTGCCAGTAGCTTCTCGTGGGTTGGTGATTCATTCCAATGATTTCCCCGTTTCTTCCTCCACCAATTAATAATGGCCTCCATGTATAGCCTATCGTGTGCTGAAAAATAGCGTTAAGCCCAACAAAAACAATGATAGCTTTTGACAATAAAGTCTGTCATCTTATCTGATCTCAATGACAAAGAATGGGAAACTCATAATGACAAACGTTTTTCATTACTGGATAAGTAAAATTAGAGATCGAACCTCTTGTATGATCTCTTCACTTTTCTTAATACCACTAACAGCACATTGGTAATAGCAATTTCTACTGAGACGAAGCATGCTAAGCTCACCGTGCAGTCAAAATAAAGAAAGGTCACTTGAAGGTTAAGACTGTTAATGGAACGTAGCTCTGCAGGTTTTTAGATCAGCAAGAGATGAAAGCAGCATGAAATGGGTCCAATCTTTGCCATATTTAGAAAGGAGTTTGTTTTATGGTTCCAATAGAAATGTGGAAGAATATCAAAAGGTGGTAATCCATTCTTGGAGAAACTTCAGGCGAACTTTGAAAAATATTTTGGTCACGTGAGATGCTCTTTATACTTGAACAGACAATAAATTAGTTGTAAGTGTCATGCTGGATTATAACAATTCATTGATTTATCACCAAGTGTTCTTCGTGACTTTCAGCACGAAACGGAATCCCTGTCTAGAGGCATGCACTTTGCATGACAGATTACGAGCAGCATGATTTTATTACGACCTGTTGTTGGTAAATTTATTTATTTAGTTATAATAGACGCAATGCAAGTGACTAATAAATTTGACTCATCAATATTCTCTGTAGTTGTCGTTCATCCAATGGGAGGGATATACATACATACCTACATACGCACGCACGCACGCACGCAATGCACACACATACATACATACATACATACATACATACATACATACATACATACATACATACATACATACATACATACATACATACAGGGCCGTAGAGAGCAATCAGGGACCCTGAGTTAAGAAACACTCGGGCTTTTCCTAATTCATGTTCTAACAATTTTGTTTCTTTATAAAATTAAAAATTTTCGGCCGGGGCCCCAGGTATGTATCTCTGGTTTTCCCTACCCCCCCTCGGTCGGTTTTGCATACATACACATGAATTCAAGCTTTGGAATTTGTACTTTATATTTTTTTTCGTGGTTAACAAAGTATGTTTCTCTTGATTTAAAACGATTATATTAACATGATTAAAACTTATCGTTTCATAATATAGATAGATCCTTTATAGCGAAGTCACTAGCTGACAATTTTCAGACATGTCACGTGGATGGAGGACAAGGCAACAGTTGGTCACACAGAAGCTAACTAAAATATGTCTTTTCAACTAAGTATACAAAGGCAAAATCAGCAAGTACAGCATATGAATTGCACGTGCAGATGTATGTCTGTGTGATTTAAATCATATCGCTACGATGTCTGCAGTTTAAAGTGATATATAGCGCTGGGGCATCATGCTGAAGACATATGGCATGATGTCCAACCCATTCACATTATCCTGACACTGGGCCAACCTAATAATAACCTCTTAATGCTGAGCGCCAAGCGAGGCAGCTGTTAGTACCATTTTTAAAAATCTTTGGCATGAATCAGTCGGGGTTCGAACCCACCACCTCCCGCATCCGATCCGAGGCGAACGCTCTAACCACTAGGCCACCGGAGAGATTCGTGCAGATGCACAACCCCCATATATATATATATATATATATATATATATATATATATATATATATATATATATATATATATATATATATATATATATATATATATATATATATATATATATAATGTGATGTGTCGAATTTTGAAACTCGTTGAAACTTAAGGTTAAATAAATTGTGCTTTCAAGTAACGAAATTGAAGCAGAAAGGTCTGGAGAAAGTTCAATGATTGTATCTTTATATCAACATAAAACATGAAGCTGACCTGTCTTTTTATGGTACATAGCGTACGCGAAATAATAATCCGATCCATATCAGTTCAAAGAGGCACACGTCAGATAATCGATTTTTCAAAAGAAGCTAATTGCAACATGTTCTAGGCCAATGAAATACAGACCCTTGATTTGGAGAGAAAAATTCTATAAACAGTGATTTCTGATTCGTCAGGGAAACTTAAGGGCATACACTTTGAGAAACAATTTAGGGACTATCTCTTGAGAAAAAATCCTTTGGTTCAATGTTTCTTGAGAGAAGACGAAGTCGACTCAGGAGGCGCTCGATAATGGGTAGCTTCTTCAAGAAATTACCAAAAAAGGGCCAGACAGTTGTCTAAGAAAAGGAGACAAACTCATGACTAGGAATGTTTGTTTGGAAAGAAGAAATAAAAATCGACAGTAAGGTACGCAATTTTAGTTCCCAGTTGTTAAAATGCTATTTCATTTGTTTAGTTGTTTGCAGATATGATATATTATGATTCACGTATGTAATCATGTATTCATTTACCCAGATAAGACAAAAATTCCAGTTGTACTTCATAACTTGCGTGTGTATGATGGTTACCTTTTTATACAAGGAATCTTAACGGCATCGAATACACAACTATGACATTCCCATTAATATCTCAAAAAATGTTTTGTCTGGGTCAGCTCCAGTGCACTAACTCGCTGTAGTTTCTCAAATCAAGCCTGGACAAGCTTGCCAATAACCATGATGCGGATGGTCACGATCGTTTTACGATCACTGGTCCATACGGTGACGTTGGCTAAGGAACGTTAAGTTGCCTAAAGGAAAATCTAACCTAAGGATTACAAGAACTACACATAAAAGTTATATGAAAATTGGTTGCCACCGATTGAATTCTTCTGTTTATTGTTCAGCCGCGAAGGCATTTCCACCGGCGGCTATGTGCGCGCACGCACGCGAACAATGTCTGGTTCGCATTTGGATATAGAAATGATTGTGACTACTATGGTCTGAGCCTTCTCGTTCTTATGCATTACTTCTCATCACCTGGAATCTCCTGGGATGTGTTGTCGAAACTCCACATCGTGTTGGAGCTGCTCACTGACATTGACCACCATTTTTTTGTCTAACGTTGCATCGACGCGAGATTTCCATAGTGAGCCACTGTTACGTTCGTGGGATGACCGGTACGTGGATAGGTACAATCCTGTGTACTCGAATAGTCACATAATGTACATGAATACGGATAACTTGTATTGTTGACCGATGAAGCAACGTATGCCTCCCCCCACCCGCGATCAATTTTGCATAGATGGAACCCGTGTAGGTCACATACAGAAACATGTATATGAATGCGACATCAAAATAAACTACAAGTACTTCTTTTAAATCGATTTGGAACACTCGAATGAACTTTACCAAGCGCACAACGAATATATTGTCTAGTAATACTATGTCATTCTTTACCTGCACAAAATCCCGCGAAACTATTTTCTCTGGGCCGTCACAAAAACGTTGATGAGATTTATGTGATACAATGATACACACAAAGTGCTAAAGTGATCCGAACCAACTGCAACACGTTGACGAATTTATGGGGTTGATGCATACAGTTTTGCAAGCATTCATGGGATCTGTGCGCTTTCAACCAATCGTAGGAAAAGTTTCGGAATTAGTTCACGATTGACTTGACAAACATATCACACGGGTTTGGACGCAAGGGTCTTATACGAAAGGGTTTGGAGGCAAGGGTCTTATACGAAAGCGTCAGACAAAACAATAATAACAATCATTCGGTGTATATCATGACAAAATCCGTCAGCGATGTCATAATAGACAGTGCTGACGACGCTGAAATACCTACACAATCACACAATTCTTCACAAACTTGTCAGAGATATGCTTCAGTCGTGAAAATTCACAAAGTGTTACGTATGTGTAATTTAATTACTTGTGTGTAGTTTTAATTTTTAAAATTTCTTTTTTATTACATGCTTTTGTATTGATAACTTTATTCAATGGATTTTACCATTTCCCAGAAGATTCAGTTCAGTTCATCTCAGTTAAACCTGATAAATACGCAGTTCGTAGAGACATTGATTGCTACATTGTATTTTTATCTGATCTAGTTCCTGACCTTGATTCAGAAATGGCAAACATAGAGTGAAAATCATTGGTCGCAATGATGGTCATATTTGGCTTTCTTGTCAGCTCTGTTATAGACAACTTTAAAAAATATGTATTATTGAATCTTACAGTAAGATTCGTTAGGTAGAATCAATTTCTTTTATGGCATACGTGTCAGTCGTCATATGGTGATCCTGCACCATTCGAACTAAGTGACCTCGTGACCACATCACTTGATCCAAAACTGCGTTTAAAACTAACGCTTTTAGTGATTGAATTCAGTCGTAGTTCATGCCTTCGGAGGTATTTTTGTGTTGTAACCAGATGAGTTAAAAAATTTTATTTAGAATAATTTATTCACTCTGGAAAATACTTGTGTTCATCAAAAGTCTTGGACAAAGACATTTTTTGGAAGGTATTTAGAATTTTATATCCGGAATATTATTCTTGATTCATAAAATTAACAAGGAACTGTTGACACAACAACACAAGACAGGATATAGAAGACGGCATTGCCTTCCATCTTGGAACTTCACCAGTTTTCAAAGTTTTATTCGTTTAGAACTTTATAGTGATGGGACCTAGATTTTTAAATTCTCTGATCAAATTTTGGATTTGATTCATAAACCGTAAGTCCTTTTTCAAATTTTTACCTTGTTTATTTTAGGAAAATAAATTATATTGTTAAATTTTGCAAAGCTTGATGGGTTCAGTCTTTTCTTTGTTATTTTGTACGAGCTTAGACACGTAACACAAGGTAGACATCATAGCGTGATTCGAAGAAACGTTTGCACCACTGAACAAATCTACGCGAGGAGAAGAAAGTCACGGAAACCACTTTCACGATGAAAAGAACCTGATCCTATTGTCAAGATAGCCTAAGGCATTGGACATTTAGCCAAAAACTAAAGTGAAGAAACACAAGCGAGCATCCAGGAGGGAATAGCGGATTATGCACAATTCCCAATAATAAGCGAAAGAAAGTAGCGCCTGAAATAGTTAACGATAGAGCCTGTCGTTGCATTTCCCGCTTATTTGCCCAGCAAAAGTCAAATTCATGTAACAGAAAAATGCAAGGAACTTCCACAAAGAAACCATTGAAATGTACCATTAATAGTTATTACATGAAAAATATAAACATCGTGGAATATTTGAGAGGAATTTGTTGATGAAGTAATTGGGATTAAAAAAAACAACACAAATGCCGATAATTCTGTGCAACTATTTTCGCATATAATATATGCTTCTTCAGGCACAAAATGTTTTGAAATAAACGGATGACGTCTTTACAGGCTAAAATAACAATTACGTCATTACGTAACTTCATAAAAAATTACGTCATTAGGTAACGTCATAAAGACAATGCATAATCACAACTATATATATATATATATATATATATATATATATATATATATATATATATATATATATATATATATATATATATATATATATATATATGACAGGATCTAAAAGATACACGAATCTCTAATGAAACCTGAATCAGTAAAATAATAAAATAAAATAGAGACAAACAGTCATACATACAATTATAGTGTTATAAAAGATATAAAATATCTTCTTTTCAATTGTGAAATTGTATATCTTTTATAACACTATAATTGTATGTATGACTGTTTGTCTCTATTTTATTTTATTATTTTAGTGATGAAGTAATGAAATTTATAAAGGTCGCGTTGGTGAAAATATCACCAAAATGAAACATTTGCCTGTGTAAAGATTCATTAGTTATCATTGTGAGACGTTGGATAATAAACATACCAGTGAACTCGTGTACAGGTTGGACATGCACGTGGGGTCAGTTTGCGGAGGCAACAAAGCGACTTAAGTCATTAAGAAGGCAGCATCGAATTGTCAGTGGTTGCTCACCGTCCACATGAACGCAGACACGTTTCGGGCATTAATGCATGAACTCGCTGAACTATCGATAATCTGTGCAACACCTATGATGAGTTCTGAGGCGTTTCCCATTCTTTGTGAAATGCAACGTGTCGTTGTGAAAATTACAATTACGTCGTGCTTTATTGATAAAACTGCAGACTCCTGTGGTCTTTGGTATGACACGACCTGGATTTCAACACGCAACCTTCAGCATCCGTTCTAACCACTTAATCCACCGATGCGGTATATACCAGTTTTCCTATGTCTTGCAATAGGAAAGTATAACTCGGTGACTCGTTTTGTTGCTTTTTCTTATACAACCCCGCTGAGCTCAAATACTTTGAAAAGTAAATGACAATGAACGAGTCACAAATTCCAAGATATTGCGTACGTCATTCCTTCTAGTGTTTAGTTTTGATTGGGGGGAAAGTGCTGTCAACGAGGTGAATGATCGCATCGTGCTTCTTCTGGGTACTGATCGAAACTGACAGTCTACACGTGCACATAGCGAGGTCAAATAGTAGGTCAGATGAATTTCATAGTCGTCACTTGAATTAGCTAATTTGTATACAAGTTGTTAGCTTGATGTATACCGCCTTTGTAGAATCGGCTAGAGTTATCCTTATACAAAATAGTCTACGTTGATAATACGCATTATGTTACGTGTATGCGGATTCTCTGTAATCCAGACTCGATTATTATTTCGTAATCTTTTGTACCCCTTTCTGT